ACACACACACACACAGACCCACACACGTAAAACGTCCTTCCTGTAGTTTAAAGGTGACGCCCAGTTGTAATACATCATGTGCAGTGTTCTTGATAAATGTACGACTGAACGATTGTGAGTTTAGGTGTTTTTCATTCCTTTCTTTTTAGCAGGGGTGTCAAATTCTGGCCCTCGGCCAAATTTGGCCTGCAGCGCTATTATATTTGGCACGCGAGACCAAATACCGAATGACTACTAGATCCCATAAACACACTCTCCCATGTTAGTCACAGCACTACCCCTCCCTGGACAGGTGGCAGGAGGAACATATGTTTACATGTAAAAGACAGATCTGTTTGTCTTGTATGTGGAGTCAACGTGGCCATAACTAAGAAGTACAACATTAGACGACACGACGAAACGAAACACCACGACAAGTCCAAGGACCTGGACATGACTCAAAAAAGCCAGAAAGTAGAGGAGATGAAAAAAAGTTTGGTTTCACAACTGTTCAAAAAAGCCATATCACAAAGTGAGCTGCTATAGTTTTATTGTGGCAGCAGAGATCGACAATCAGCCCGATGATAAAAGTTTGTGATCTCGTGAGCCCAGAGAAGAAGCAAGCATTTCTAAATGTGAGCCTGAGCAGAAACACATGAGCTGATCGCTCATGTGATCTTGCCACCAGTTTATGACCAGCTGATGGGAAAGGGAAAAGATTGCGTTGCATTCTCCCTTGCTGTGGACGAGAGCAGCGACACATCTGATACTGCCCAGCGGTCAGTCTACATCCGTGGAGTGGACTCACACCTGTGTGTTACGGAGGAACCTTTGGGATTAACATCAATGCATGGCACAACCACAGGACAGGAAATCTTTGACGAGGTTTACAAATGTGTAACTGAAATGAAGCTGCCGTTGGAGAAACTCGTGGGATTAATGACAGATGGTGCGCCAGCGATGTGCGGTCAAAAAAGTTAACAAGCTAACTGTTGATCACTGCATCATACATCAAGAATCGCTGTGTGGCAAAGCCCTAAAGATGGAACACGTTATGACCACAGTAACACGAGTAGTTAACTTTATAAGAGCCAAATGTCTGAATCACTGCCAGTTCAAGTCTTTTCTGGTGGAGTGCGGTAATTAGTTCCAGCTGCGTGAGGAAATATGTCATTTTCTGGAAAGCAAAGGGGAAGACACAGCCGAGCTCCGGGAGCAGAGGCTTCGTCGTCACGAGTCTGAACTGCTCAGTCATCCGTTTGCAGCTGATTGAACTCCAGTGTAGTGACACGCTGAAGTCAAAGAATGATGCTGTGGGCGCTGCACAGTTTCCACATTTCATCCCTGACACAATGCCTCAGCTCCGCACCCAAGCTGCGATTTTATTTAAATTTTAAATGTTGGCCCACTGTGTATTTGAGTTCGACACCCCTGCTCTATAGCATAGTGCATTTTTATTTGTGACTTTTTTCTTACAGACCTTTTATCTATTTATTTTCACTTTTTTACCTGCACTGAAAAGACTGCACCTTCATTTCGTTGTACAATGACAATAAAGATTTCTGACTGTGACTCTCACCTGTGGAGCTCCCTCTGCAGGTCCTGCATGTGGTGGTGACACTGAGCGTAGTACGTCGCCTGAGCCTCCGCAAAATCCTGCAAACACCTCTGGTGGTTGAGCTGAGGAGAGGAAAGAAAGGAGACGTGTTCTGCTCGTGGTGCATTTGGTTTTTAGTTCAGCATCAGACTGCATATGCTGATCAGATGCTTTTAACATTTAACTGATTGCTCAGAGAAAACAATCAGACAATCAGACAAGAGGACTGATATTTATGAGAGAGTGACTTGGTGCAGATGTAAGAATCAGGATCTGGTGAATGTTATCGTGGCTTCATGAGGAGAATGTGTTTAGGTTGTAATGAGTCTTTCTGTAAAAGTGAATGATTTTTACTGATCGACTGAACCTCTTTCAAATGATCTGTGTCATCATCTCTATGCTGTAATAGTCTATTCATAATAAACAGGATTAGCTGTAGTTTTTACACAAACACCGTGATTCAAGTTTTCGTTTCCTCTACATCATGACTCGCCAGAGACGAAGCGGCTGACTCACTGAACTTCACATGAGTGGACTCACATGTGTGCTGCTGATGCCTTCCAGCAGCAGTCGAGTGACCTCAGCCTGACGGTCAAACTCGGTCTGAGCGACGCGCAGCTCGTGCTCTGCCTGCAGGAGGAAGTGAAGACCTTCAGAACTGGACTCAGATACAAACACACACAGTGAACACGAGTGACGACACTTACTTTATCCACCTCCTCGCTCAGCAGCTGAGAGACGCAGCAAGAGCAAAGCAAGAACACATTCGTTAAAACCACAGAAACATGGAAAGTGTTATTATAACTAAATAAGGGTCAGACAGTTCTGAGCTGCATCATTGAATCTGAGTCTAATTCATTCGCTTTTAAAACCTTTTATTGTACAAAATATTTCTCCTGACATCACTAAATTCTTTCATTCTTAAATGTTGGGTGATCTTTGAACTGCTTGCGTCTGTTTGGACAGTGATGTATGAAAAGCACTTTCTTATTATTTGTGTCCTCGTTAAAAAGTCGGAGCCTGATTTGACCAAGCATACGGAGTAAATGTGTGTTTGTGTGCGACAGTGTGTGATGGCCACCGTCGCTGCTGAACCGTGGGACCTTTGCTCTACACTCTGCAGATGTTGACAGCTGCTGAAAGTTTGCTGTTTTGTGCCCCCTTGTGTTAAACTTGTGTTGTTGTTAGGAAGCGTCGCTTTACTTCATAAATATTGGATATTTGCAGGTGAGATGTTTTATGGGTCTGACTATGTCCTGGATCATACCAGGTAACAATAAGTGTATAAAATCATGGTGAGTGGTGGAGACTATGAAGTGGAAAACGTTTACACAGAGCACACATTGATTGGATTAACAGGATTGTTGGGACTCAGTGGACGGTGACATGTGTCTCCTCTCTTTCCTTCAACTCGTAGGACAAATGATTAAATGTCAAAGTGTCCAGGACGATAGGAGGAAGTGTGGAGGAACAAAAACTACCAAAGGAACCCTGAATCACTGAGGAACGTTTCTACCACCACAGACAAACGGCTCTAAATAACATGCTTCTATTTCACTGCCGACATGTTAATCAACACAACCTTCCTCTGCTCAGATGCAGCCGGATCCGTGGCCACGTCCCAGCTCTCCCAGCCGCTCTGCAGCTGATCCAGACACAGACACATGACACGTCTGTTTCCTGCTGTTTCTCACTCTGACATTTTACTGATGTTTTACTAGAGGCTGCAGAGAACACGTCAGGAACATGTCAGGAACACGTCAGGAACA